ACACATGCTCAGTACACCAGGGGCTGACCCTTGCCTGGGCACGCCTCCTGTCCCTAGAGTCACACAATTTTGCCCCTATAAAAAGAGGCAGTGAAGACAGACTCAGTGGGACGCGCTCTCCATCTGGACCAGCACCATGCCACACCACCTATCCACCCAGAGGCCCTGCCGGTGACCTGACCCCCCTCTAGACAACACTTACTGGACAAAGACCACTTTCCAGCCTGAATAGGTAGCTATCACTCCCCCACCCCTCTTCAACCAAGGACTTGGACTCTGCTTCTCTTCCCTACCTGGACTCTAACCCTTCCACTGACTCTCCAGCTGCCATTGTGAGTGCTTGTGTGTGTATATGTGGGAACCAATAACTTCATGGGACTGTGTAGCGTGTTGTCTGTGTAATAAAAATGTTATCTGGACTCCTAAGTTGGGTTTTGCTTTACTGTGGTTTAGCCCTGCTCCAATCTGGTCCTCACCCCTCTAACTTCTGTCTCATTTTTCCCTCTCCTGCTTCTGGCTCACTGCCACCTCCAACACCTGTCCTGAGCTCCTCTCTGCCTCCAAACCCCCTGTTTCTTTGCCATTGTCTTATCCCCACTGCCTTTTCCTTTTCCCCTCAGCAACCAGGTTTCTGCCTCAGTTTCCTTCCTGGCTGTCTCCCCCCACCATATCTCAGCTGTCTGCCTCAGTTTCTAGCCTCAGCCTACTAAGTAAGCCCAAGCCTCAGTTCCTCAGCCAGCTTCTCTGTAGTCTACCGGTTCTAATCACAGTTCTGGCAACTTTCACTCCCTACAGTTTAATTCTCTCTCTCACCTGAACCTTCCCCCAAGTATCCCAGGTACCCCAACCACACACATACACACTATACCATTCAAGTTAGGAACTTATCTGTGTGTATGTGTAGGTGGGTTTTGTGTGTGTGTGTGTGTGTGTATATATATATATATATATATATGGCATTGTGTGCATGATATACAAATTAGTGATCTGTGTCTAACTTTGGGGTGTACAGTGTATATGCTTGAATTGGTGATAGGTATGTATGTGCCTAGGCTGGTTTGGATGTGTATGTGCCTGAGCTGGTAGTGTGTGTGTGTGTGTGTATGCACCTAATTGATTTGTGTTTGTAGATGTGCAATTGTGTCACACTCTTCTGTCTAACAGTGCAATATTGAGATCTTGAGAGTTGGCCTGACCCCAAAGGGCAACACTTTAATGGTAGGAAGGTTTCTCAAACAGGAAGGCATGGGACAGATTTTGGATTCATTCGATGTCTGCAAGACTGTTCTATGGTTGGATATCTTTGGGAGAGAATGATCTGTCCCTAGTTCTCATCTTTTTTGAGATCTACATTTTTCCTGGGGAGCACAGGGGCAATGTAAATAGATACATGGACTTTCATGTAACTGGGGTGTAAAATATTAGAAAATCAGGACCACAGACATAAGCTGGAATTTGAATCTGACTGGGAGGCAGTACAGGGACTTGATCCTAAGCCAGATGTGCTTCTTATAGCAGCCTGAGGCCGGCAGTACTCAGGCTACTACATTTTCTAC